TGCCTAGGCACTAGTTCACTTCATCCACCAACTTCACGATATCACATATCACACGTGCAACACTCACTTTTTCGCGAAATTCGTTTGCAGACATTGCAGTATTTTGAAGAAATACTGTAACCCGAGATGCCCAACGACACAAACACAACTAAATTATGCCAATAAAAATTTACCTATATGTATCCTTGTTTTACAACCTATACCTGTACGTATCCTTTTTGCTTACAACCTGAGGATTACATAAAATTCCGTTACAATTGTCTATATTACCCCGACATTCCTGCAAACAGCCCAACGGCACGTATTTACTACCTGCATCCGGTACCTTTGCTGGGGACACAAAGTGATTACATTAGTATCAGATTTTGATGTGGTATTCTAAATCGGCGACCTGGTCCCGGTTGTCGACAAACATATGTATACACGGATTTGAAAAATAATCATACTAATGAGGTTCTCTCAGCTAATGATAAGGCCATGTAAAGAAACTGATAATTTCATCTCACCGTAATCAATACCTGTTCAATATTGATTAAGTGTACATTCTGCGACTTACATGGATACACCTATTAAAATCGCTTCTATTTCACTATATTGTTACATTCTGTATTACAAATACACAAAACCAATATTGCATAGTTTATTCAATAACATTCACATCCGCCTGAGGTGATCATGAGCTATCAGAACACATTAAGTTGACCGGATATCAGTGAAAAAATTTTGGGCGTAAAGCGATTTTGAAAAATGACAGGTGTTTTTTCGAATTCTGATCGAAGTGCGGATCGGGGTGTTCCGGACCCCCCTGGGGGAAACGGCTTGGTGGGATGTTAGAACATGTTAAATAAACACGAGTCGCACAAAAGAATTTTGGGCGTAAGCCAATTTTTTTGAAATATAATTTTTTTTGCGCGAACGCCATGTAAACCCACCCTAACTCTGAAAAAGTATGTTCCGGACCCCGCTCGAGCGATCGACTATCATGGGCTGTTAGAACACGTTAAGTTGACCGGATATCAGTGAAAAAATTTTGGGCGTAAAGCGATTTTGAAAAATGACAGGTGTTTTTTCGAATTCTGATCGAAGTGCGGATCGGGGTGTTCCGGACCCCCCTGGGGGAAACGGCTTGGTGGGATGTTAGAACATGTTGAATAAACACGATTCGCACAAAAAAATTTTGGGCGTAAGCCAATTTTTTTGAAATATAATTTTTTTAGCGCGAACGGCATGTAAACCCACCCTAACCCTGAAAAAGTATGTTCCGGACCCCGCTCGAGCAAACGACTACCATGGGCTGTTAGAACACGTTAAGTTGACCAGATATCCGCGAAAAAATTTTGGGCGTAAGGTGATTTTCAACAATTACGGGTTTCCGATCTGATTCAACATAGTAATTTTTTATATCTATATATTTTTTTGGAGGTAAACCACGAGTTAATGCCATGTCCACTCAAGGACACTTGAGGTATGTTTGTCTTATGCGATTAACGCAAAAACCGCATTTTTTTCATTATAATTTTCACGAAATAATAACTTTTTCGCGTTACTCACAACTTTGGGGATGTTTTTGGGGAAGGGGGGCTAGACTTCAATGACACATAAAAACACATAAAATAAACGATACTGCATGAAAACCGCATTGATTTACGCACATTTAAAGCCAAAAGACGTGGTTGTACGTTGAAATGACAAATTTTGTGCACTGCTGCCTTTATAACGTTTTCGATCGCGCTCCATCGATCGGTTCTTCAGCCACATCGTCAAACGGCACTTGTAAGCTTGACGATCTGCTCTAATTCCCTTCGCTTAGAGAACGTACATACTCAAACCTATTTCATACAAAGTTTCTTCTCTTATTTGTATGCATTATACTGGTACGTTGTAAATCTAACATTTTGATCGTTAAACTCGAGGAGGGAAACGTTAGCATACATGCATGTTTTATGTTATGTAGTTGGCGGATCGCGTGACACGCCCAATCAACTATTTATTCGGCTAAGGGCTGTGTCGCATATCGTTCTTTTTTTGAGGCGATTTATTTGATGGGATATGATGGCTTATTTTAATGTGAGACACTTGGTAATCTCTGGTCTTGTATCGATTGTATTGGACATGATGATCTTACGGAAGTGGAAAAAAAACTGAAAAACCTCGGAACTTTCTTTATACCTGTTTAGACAAAGATGAGTACCGCCACAGCTATTAACGAATTAGAGAGAGTTTACCGACACAAGTTTCTATAAATGTTTCAGAGGAGGGCTGGCCGACTGATCGATGATTCTTCTCTAAAGGACAGTCAAGGGAGTCTTTCGCACCGACGGGCCGTCGGCAATCCAGCTCTCTTCTACCACTACGCCAACGGGCTTTGCTTCTTGGAGCTCTCCTCTATGATGCCACCGCGCAATGTGCCTGCCAGACAGACCCGCCTGACTTCCATCCTAACCGTGTCGAACTTCGAATATCCAGAATCGACCGCTCATTTGTCCCTAGGGTATCGAGATTATGCAACAATTTACATAAGGAGCTTTCCCAGTGAAAGTCCAGTTTTGACAACGAGAACGACAGTTTGGATCGACACGCTGGACCGCTCAGCAGTTATCGTAAATGACAAGAATTGCTCTTTGTGAGTGCTTGCCTAAGCATCATTACTAGATACCCCGGATATGATCTCCTTGATAGTGCTATACTGGGTTTGTACAATGTTTGTGTCAGTCATTAGTGGAGAAGTGCTCTGGAATATCTCATGGTTTTGAGCACTAGTATCTGTCATATGGTTAGGCTCAAGTTGTTGTCTTTGATAGGACGAAAGCATTCGATCAGCTAATGCGAACGTCAATCCTATGGCCTCCCAGAGAAGCTTTGTAAATGGGTGGCTGACTTACTTTCCGGCCGTAACATATTACGTACAATCAATCCGATCCACACAGCTTCACTGATGACAGCTGTTCAAACACAGGAATTTACTATGTCAAGCTGATCTCTGAAACAGCTGGAGGAAATGAAACTAGTATCAATTTCCTCTCGAAGTCATAACTGTTGGGGACACTAATCTGGTATGGTGAAATTCTTCCGAGGTATAATACTGCACCTCGACTAATAAGAAGCGTTCCAGAGTTCTGCCAAAAGAGACATTCGTTTCGGCAGGTCAAAGTTCAGATCACCAAGGACTTGATTTGGCACAAACATATCTCATCAAATGCTACAGTTGCTGGGAAAAGTTATCTTATTTGCTTAGGACTAAGCAGTACTTTTCTCCTCAGTCTGTACAAGGCCTAGATATGAATCAACCTCGAGCACCACTCAGATGTTTCGGGCGCTGTCGTCCTCCTGACTACACTGTCGGTACTGACAGACGGTTGCTGATCTGCCTCTCTTCTACCACTAGAATCCCTAGAGTCTCGAGTCGTGGAACACTCTGCCAGCAGGGTTTCCAAAGTTCTGCTAAACTTACTTATTCTTTACACTTTCTTGATTTCCGAAGTAAATTTTGGCAGACAATTTTTTTGTTGAATTACATGTTCTTAAAATACAAAACTTCTTTAAAAAATGTCAGAAGTTTTCAACCATTATCATATCGCTGCTCGAACCTAACGTGAATGAGCATTGGTTTCCGTTTTGATTTTAACTCTTGTTAATATTGAAATATTATTTTATATGGTAAAAGGTCGAATGCTCAATTTGCTTTTCAGCCCACATATGTTCAGCTCCTTCAATTTTTAAAGTACTGTGTTCTGTGGAGAGACTTTCCATATTACAAAAGCATTTATGCACATTACATATTAATGGTATAAATAATTTCCTAACTTAAATTTTGAATTACTTAATGCCATAATACAGAGATAATGGTAGCTACTCGTTTAACATTTATGTAATAGGGAGTATTTTGCCCAGACATAATGAAATGTTCATCATAACAAACGGTGCAAACGCTATGTATTTTGTATACATAAATGATTATTAGATATAGGAAGCCCACGTATATTATTACTATTATTAGAATACGTGGAGGGATGCATAAAACAAACTAAGTAGGTGTGCGGTGAGATGAGTTACGGCTCTGTTATAATGACTCTCGCAATGAGTCGAACAGAAAGAGTATAAAATCGAACAAAATTTCTGACATCTATACCAATAATTTAAACGGCCGTCTCATTCCCTGTGTTTAGAGGCGGGATGTCATTGACCTTTCTGCATCTCTCTGGTATTTGTTCGCAAATTGTCAAGAGATCCATTAATCGTAAATCACACAACGCGTTTATATTACACAAGATGAAAGTAGGTTTTTTAATTTAACGTTTTAAAATTAGGTGCAAATGCAAATAATACAAAACTAATGAGTTTGTATCCATTAAGATATGTTTGTACTAGCTATTTTACTCACTCCCCCTTTTGTTTTGTCTCTCTATTAGAGAATGACTTAAAGATTTTTGAACATCTAAGCGTACTTTTTACATTTATTCCAACGCATAGAATTACGATTAGGTATTCTTCAGATATTACATACATTGGGTGGAATGCATAAAACGTAGTAGATGCTAATACTTCAAGTATGTACTACATTTTTGAAGTTTTAACTACACTAACAAAGCATTTACTTTCCTCCATAGCATATGCTACTATGTACGAGATACATAGAAGAATATACTACGCTTTAGAAGTATTTGGTGGTTTAGTAGTATTTGCTCCAGTTTAAGTGAAGTTAGTGTATGAGCAACTCCGGCTACCGCAAATTCAGTATTTTTTTTTTAAAATGGCAGCATTCATGAATGTGCGTCGTAGAAAAGTTTAAAAACAAGCGAGGATATACAACGATGATATTTATCGTAAATTATTTAGGTAATTATCATAAATCGTGCAGTTTTATGGTTATGTAATTATTATTAATATAAAATCAAGTTACTTTCATAATTTTTTGTTTAAGGTTTAACAGAGAAAATGTAGAGTGGCTTGCAAACGATTTTCTTGACGACAATGATGATCGCCGTAGAAACAAGAGGTGTCACCTATTCGGAAAATGGAGATATTTTTGAGGAGTTTAGGTTAATATAGGAAAGTAATTCTAAAATTTAAAAAATATAAATATACATTTTTCAGGAGATCCTGGATTTCAGCAAGGAGTTGCTGTTGATTTAGATGTAAACCAAAGCACTGTATCCAGAACCTTGATTACTGTATCTGAAGCAGTTTATTCCAAGAGAAATAACTGGATAACATTTCCTAATACTAACGATTCACTTGGAGTTGCTATCAATGAGTGGGCAAATACCAAGCGAATGCCAGTGTCATAGGTGCTATTGATTGCACTCACGATAAAATAACAAAGCCACGAATCCATGGTGATGAATATGTGAATAGAAAAGGGATATGTTCAATAAATGTACAAGCTACTTGTGAAGCCAAAGAAATCTTTACCAGTGTCGATGCGACTTGGCCAGGCTCCGTCCACGATAGTCGAATTTGGCGAAACTCCCTAGTGCACCGAATTATGTATAATAATGTGCAAGGAGCAGCCTTGTTAGGTGATGAAGGATATGGTATTGCACCTTGGTTTTTGACACCATTTAAAAATCCAACCACACCTATTCAAGAAAATTATAATTTAATCCATGCGAAGGAACGTTGTGTCATAGAACGCTGCTTTGGTCAGTTGAAACGGCGTTTTCCAATGCTCCAGTATACATTTCGCCTAAAACTTGAAAACATTCCAAAACATATTGTGAGTGCATTTGTACTTCATAACATATCTAAACATTTGCATGATCCATACCATGATTTTGATCCAGTTCAGATGGAAGTACAAGATGCGATTGAACTGATACCTGAGGGTAATCAACCACAAATTCGAAATCGAGGCACTCAACGTAGAAACGACTTTGCGGAGGCTATATTTCGTGATGTCAACTAATATAATATCACAGGGTCGTCTAATAACAAACAAATGTTAAAAGTAAATTATGTTATGTGGTATTTGGTTTTATTTTCAATTAGTAATTAATATATTCAAAAGATACAACTTAATAACATATTTATTTAGTAAAACCTTTTAACAAAATGAAATTATAACTCTTAACATTTATTATTGTAACTATATATATTATAACATTTATAAATACAAACTTATTTTGTCACTGTAACATGTCACGCTCAATTATATGGTTGACTAACTGTTCACCAGCTTCGGCAAACTTCACTTCGGCATCGTAAAAGAGGATGCTACAACGTAGATACTTTTTAGTGAAGCAATAGCATCTACTACGTTTTATGCATTCCACCCATTGATTAACGACGTAGATGAGATGATCTGATCGCAGATTATAACGTTCATGATCGCACGACCAAAAATGAGGATGTTGATATCGTTGTACATTGATGAAACAAATGCGATTTACTTATGGGAAATCCAATGGAAACAGCGTAAGTGATGTAAAAAACAATGCACATCGCTGATTATTTATAGATTATATAGTCCAAATGTGAGTGATTTTGTTGTGAACTTTCTCAAACAATAGTACTTTCAAAACAGACACATCTGCCGTATGTCTTGGATTTTGTCATTACTAAGGCCCGTATCGTCAGTCGTCCCTACAATTGTAGGGCGCGTTTATGGCCTCCTTGATTGTCATACTCCTTTCTCTCCTTTAAAAATTTCTAGATTACACTTGTCCATAACCTCAAAATAGTGTTCTGACACGGAGAAGTAGAAAACTATGACAATCAAGGAGGCCATAAACGCGCCCTACAATTGTAAGGACGACTGACGATACGGGCCTAAGATATTTGTAGAGAGAATCCCCTAAGCGCTAAACTATTATTTCATGCAATTTTTATATTTCTGTTAGGGCTTCTACGAGTAATAATCAATGACGGGTTTTAATCCGTCCTCGTATCTAATTAGTTAGACACATACATATATCTGTACGAAACAATTCCTACGAATAGTTACGTTTAAGTGGAGGTTTGTTAGACTACATAATTACTGGATATTGTTAAATTGGAGTATTTACCATCAATCTATTTTTTCTCATGATCTATTGCAGCGATCTGTTAGCTAAATGAAGATGTCCAGTGTTCTTTGTAACAAAAAAACTACTACTCCTACTACTACTGCGAAAAACGTAATATTTCTTCATGTTTGTGCTGGCAACCCTCTGGCTGAACAAAACTGTGCAGAGTTCTCCATAAACTATTACAGCGGATAACTGTGTATAAGTGAAGTCTCTCGGGACGGCAGTATAATCCCGAAATAAAATATTAAAATTAAGCTGGCATAGCCATTAAATTTCATTTGCTAGTGGCTAGTGTATGTAAATGGCCGGGAAAAGCACAGGAATTAATGTTAGGCTATGTTCATGTGAGCGGAAACACTACGGGCATTGAAGTGTCGGATTAGCGTTCGCGCAATGTGACAACGCATAAATATCAAGGGATTCATACTGTACTCTGTTGTAATGGATATGCGCGTTGCATCAGGTTCAGCAGGATAATGTCACTCGAGGTATTATGTAGAAAAATGCGTTAAAAATTATTTCGCATTCGATTCCGGAAACAAGACTGAGTAAACTCCACCTGGAAGACAAAGGCTGACCTGTGAAGCTGGGGATAGCGAAATTGGAAGCAAAGCTTGGCTAGATGAAGGCATTTGGGTAGATGGATACAATGAGTATACGAACGATAGAGATCCACCCGTCATAATATGAACTATTGTTTTCAAAAAGGAGGGAGTAGAACCACTGAGAGAAAGTAAGCCTGGAAATTATCTCAAATTGCAGCTGTTGAATATTGTCAAACAAGTTGGTGAATGTGTCCACTTATGGCAAATTGATACGTTCCGAGTTCTTCGTATCATCAAAAAGTTAAATTTGTCTTTAGAGATGAGATTGGTGGACGGCCGTGAGACAGCACTTTTCTCTCGAGAGTGATTCTGATAACGACTGTTCTAACAGCGTCCAGGTAATGCAGTTCCTCGGAAGTTAAGAGAACTACGCCCACTTTCCCTCAGTTATCATATTCCCTGATTTCAAGAATTGATCTCCTGATGGTGGATGGAGCTGTGAGAGATACTACATTATTGGTTTTATGCGAAAGAACTAAAAAAAAAATAAATAAAAATACAGACAGCAGATGAGGCCAGTACCTACAGTTTGGATGGTGCTACCAACGATTTTTGTCTAAAGTAGAGCCAGGTTTTGTTTGTGACAGCTGAAGCTCCCTCACGATAAACAAGTTCAGGAAGACATGAGACGACCTGCCTGCTAGGTGAGTCTAGGTAGAGGTGTGGAATAGAAAATGATAATTAGATTTTGGCTCATAATTTGACAAACAAATGACGGGTTTACATGGAATACTTGCAGATATCTTGAGAACTAATACGGGAAATACGTATATTAAGAAACCCAGAAAAAATTAATCATGAGAGGAACAGACCGAAAGGTCCAACTTTGAGAGAGCGCAGAATATTTTTGAAGCTTTAATGTTTGGGCAGATTAGATTGGTATATGCTATACTAACTATAGGAACAGTTATCCGATTTTTCTCAGTTAAGAGTCGGAAAGGACCATGATATGCATCCTCATGTAATTAACAGAAGTCTTGTATACCATTTGGTGTACTTTGTTCAAAATGAAGGTAACTTAGACCATTCGTCTTAAATGAAAGTAGAGAAGGGTGTTTGTTAGTTCTATAAAAATTAGTTAGTTGATCAATAAAACTACATTATTTAGAAATCGTGTCAAATTCGTAAAAATATTGTCAGGAGTGTATGTTTAATTAATCAGTTCCTCCGTTTTTATGGATTGTTCGACCTGCAAGAGAACTTTATGTCTTGATGGAGAAAAAATAAACATTTCCGAAAGCTTGACATGAACGCAGAACGAACTTCCTTGCTGGCCTGATTCAGGGATATTGGTTGCTTCCTCGAGAATTCTTAATTTGTATTATAATACAAATAAACTGTGCTTTTAAAAAAACCAGCCTACTCATTTTTTGAGCGGTTCAACTTAACAACTTGAAATTCGGGGTGATGGATTTGATGCATCAACTCAATGTAAAAGTACCAGTTCGAAATTTCAAAATAGCGGCTGAGCGCCATCTTGGATGTACCTCGATTTGAAGATCCCTGGAACCTAAAATCCCTATCCTCGAAAATTGCGAATTGGTAGATTGACAAAGATGAGCATTTTTGTACATTGAATGGCTTATACCCTAATACTCAATCTCCAAAACGCTGTAGTAAGTTATCAATCTTCTTTTCTCAGAATAATTTAATCGAAAGTCAAATTTTGCCAACTTCTGTTTCAGCTGACTATCGCATATTTGTTGCAGATTTACGATATATTCTCCCAAAGGAAAAAGGTCGATATAACATACTCTAGTGTTTTGATGCTTAAAAGGAGACCTTACACCCATCGAGTCACCGATTTGGCCCCAGGTCTGTGTTGAAAGCTAGTGTAGAATATTCCTAAAGTCATAAGGCGTACAAGTCGAAAAGAAGGAAAAAATTTCTCGTAAAAGTGTCACTATCACTATTTGTCAAAGTTTCAAAAATCCTAATTTGCTAAAATTATTATGTTAAGAATAGGTAGGTTGAAAGGTTTTTGAAAGCTGACTTTACAAAAGTATTTATTTGTCAACAACTGTATGCAATAAAATTACAGAATTGCTGTTTTTTCTTCTTCTAGTTATGGTACCAGAACTTAGTTTTCTATGCTACAGAATTTTTTAAGGTACTTATAGTTTATATGGATATCTTAAGATAGTTTCTAGTGTATCTTCACTAGTAGGGAAATAATATTTACGGGCATTTGGTGTTTATTATTGATTAACATATTCAATAAGATTTTCGTTGCATGCGCATTATTGCTCCACTCGAAGAAAGTGTGATTCAGATCTGCAATTTTTGTTGGGTCGTAGTGGCAGGTTGGGGAACTGCTGATGTTTTTTAAATAATAAAATACAGTGAGAGTTAACGCATACATCAGCTATTTATACTAGTTACTTCATTCAGTAGTACATGTTATTGGATGATAATTGTCATATAAACGAACAAAGCATAAATTCAACTGGCACCGACTACAAGAAACAAGATACATTTTTGAGCATGCACAAGGATTTTTTATCTTATCAAATTAAAAAGCATATATTTACTCTTTGAAGAAAATCTCTTTGATCAGAAAGTTTCAGTGCAAACTATGCGCAATGATGTTCTGATCTAATAAATGGTGATACTCGTCCTTTCGAGAGAAATATTCTGTTTTTAGGTTGTGCACCTTAGGGCTTTAGAAGTATCCTACACTACCAAATCTCTATCAACATATAGAGCTGCGGCAAAATCGGTGACCCGAAGGGTGCAATGTCCCCTTGTGATTTGTTGACTTTTGAGGGATTCAATGTACATGAACGCTTAACTTTGAAAGCCGCCAGTCCGCAATTTTGAGAGGCAGTAAAAGTTATAGTTTAGGCAGCAGCGGTGGCCGCAATAGTAGACTCTTCGGTGTTCTGATCAGTCGCCGTGCGCTGTGCGGGTTCGAATCCCGTTCCAAGAGAAATTTTGTTTGTAGACGGTCTCTGACTGTCGAACGCGGAGGTACCACCCGGCTGATCTCATAGGCGGAGCCAGAATGTGTGCATGTTGCATGCACACGTGTTCCCTCGCCAGAGTCCGTGTGGCGTTCCCCCTTTCCTCTGTATCCCCCTATAGCCCCACGGTACCCAATGGGTGTTTAGGCCTTAGGCCTTCGTGGTAGTTTGAGTATAAAAAAAATAAGGTATTAGGTTTTTTATAAGAGGGTCGATCACGATCCTCCACTGCAACTTACTGGTCCAAAGTATTAATAAGAATGATTCAAGATGACGCTCAACAGCCATCTTGAAATGTTTAACTGTTATTGTTGCGGTAAAGTTTTCATGAACTCCAAATCTCAGCTTGTTAATTTGATCCATTCAAAAAATAACCAAGGGGACATTTTTGAAAAGCACTATTGTTTCACTGAGGAACGCCTCTACATGACAAAAAGTTAGGAAGGCCAGAAAAAGAAAGGCTTCTATTTTGTCACTTTATTTGATTAATCCGATGGCAATTATTTGCTAATCCCTTACCTGAAATATATGAGACAGACGACAGAATGGAGCAGCATGTTGACCAGATGGTAGCCCATCGGCTCGAGCTGCCACAGTAGGTAATTCCATCTGAATGTCAGCACGCACAACGGTCGATAAGACTTGTGGCTTTGTTCCTGAAACAATGGAGAATAGTCAAAGGCATATCACAGAAGCAAACAGAGATATACAGTAAGCCGGCTGGAAATAGCATGGTGGGATTAAGACGGACGGTAAGGGCATTACTCTGAGCGCTAGTCGCTCGTTTGCATCGATGGGTTAAGTGCCGTTCTATGAAGGGCATAGGAATTATAAAAAGGGGTGGTGATTATTTGATGATTGTCAGAAAATACTTCATGTAGTTGAAGCTGTATTAAAATTTCTCTAAACTGGGAATTATCCGCTGAACTATTAGTTTTACACCCTGTATGTCGTAATTCCATGATTCGGAAGGAAATTGAACTGACACCTGGCAGACAAGTGTCATGCTTACACTCAGAGTAGCTTACCACAGGTCCGCGTGGTTCAGTCCATTATCACCTCATTGTTCCAAGATACAACATAGCATCAGCCCAATTAAACAGCGCGATAATATTTTAACACACACCAATGGTCATGTTTGTCGAAATAAGACAGCGCAACCTGCCAACTAGTACCAGAATCGACCACTGTGAGCAGTGTATAGCAACTATTCGTTGGAACGGTAGAGATGTTAGTCCACAATGGTAGCGCAGTCACCATTGTGACCGCCAGATCGCTGACGATTCTAGCTGCTTTGTTGATATGGTCTACCTACTTGCCACTTAATATCGATAGACTGTACCTGCTAGATAGAGCATAGTTGCGTTCGTTGACCAGAGACATTGGGTCAAGCCCACACCATGCTGATGAGCAGCCAAAAAGGACGAAACAGCTGTCTATGGTTGACTGGGTTTGATACGATGTTTTTAGGATCATGTTTATATCGTGATCACTAGTAGTTACCTAAGCCCTTGTATAATTTATTCGCTGGGAGTGCTCTTAGGTACTTGAATTAAAAATGGATGTGATAATATGCACAGGATTTGTTCCCATAAAATGGGATTCAAACTTCTAACCTCAAACTATGCAAAATGGAACAAAATGGCGTTAGTTCAGCATGTGAGAGACATTGAAGAGGTTGGGACCAACGGACAAAGCTACTTAATAAGAGCCTTGATCGTATGAAAAACGTCTGTAACAACAACTTCCTACAAATCATCATTACATGTAAGTACCTATCTTGATAACACATTGAACGGCAGCCTAAGAAAGCCAAATATTATATAATTCAACCCACGACTGACAGTTATAAATAACAGGTTAAAAGTAGGTATGCAGTGTCAATCCTGATGACGGACACGTTGCCATTGGTACAGTTCAGTGTAAGTCACCATGGACTGGATTGGCAGTCAATATGCTAATGGCGTGACCACAGAAGAGAGCTTGTCAAAGACAATCAGCTAACTCACAAAAAGGGGTTGTAATCTTTGCACACAGCATCACTATATTTAAAATTGAAATATAATATTCAATAATCTCTAGCATTATATTACATTATATTGCTAACGTTTTCTTCCTTGCCATTTATTTATTTATATACCTGTATGTGTAAAACGTATACATTTGCACGTACTGCTTTTTTCATTGATTTAACAGTTTACTACGTGTGACTCATTTCGAGAATTTGAACGCCTTTACTGGAAAATATTTTAATAAATTCAGTGCAGAATTGTATTAAATCTGGCAAATTGACATATATAAGACTCAATTTATTTCACATCTGCAAAATCGCGAACTGTGATCGATTTGATAGTCCCCGCTACCCAATTCGCATATGGCAAATAGCGCATGCCGCAAGGTATAAATGTGCGGCGCCATCTCTTAGCACAGAGCAGTATTAATACATGTAATAGCACAGTCTGATACTATTTGTCATTTGTTGGTCTGGGCCTGGGCGGTCCGTAGGATCTTTGCCCATTAGTCCCTGTCGAATGTAGGTTAGTCGAATCTGTCAGTCCTGGTTGCCCAGAAACCAGACAATGTCAGGGAAAAAAAGAAAGGGAAAAGAGAAGAAAAAAGGAGAAGAGCAAAGAAAAAACAGAAGTAGAATGATTCAGGAAACACCCAGGATTTTTGACTTGGTACACGGTATAAATGTGCGGTGAACTAAAGACAAATTTTGATTCAGGTTTTGTTAGAGTGTAATTTTGGGTTTACTAAAAGTGTGCCAATTTTTGATCAAAGTGCGAGCCGTGTCCTTGGATGTCTCTGAACTTGCTCTACTGTGTAGTCCACTGAGTCACACAACATAGCGTTGCTGTGCGATTTCGCTTGACTATAAAGACGCTGCACCTGAAGCTTGACATAATCCCTGAAGTAAGGAATGTCCAGGTCAGCATAGTCTTGTGGTTTAGCTACCGACGGTACCATTGACCTCAGTGACAATTATGTTGCTAATTGTAACCCAAAAATGTTCACATGTGACAAGTGTCGGTGCGATGGGTTGCGGAATGCTAGGCTAGTACCAGTATTAGGGAAATTAGCGGTAGTACTGCAGATCTGACAACCTCCATTAGGTAGAAACTCGTCTCCGCGTCTATGTCCTTGAGTTCGGCGGACATACGTGTGGGCAGAGGGAATTAGTCATTGCGTGACAATAACCAAAACTTTTTAATAATTGGCCTTACGAGAAGCATAGCCTCCCGTGGTCCACCCACCTTACCTTAATTTTTTCTGGTGTACACAAGCTTCCTTAAAAGCATAGCCCAGTTAATAGTCTAATCATATTAGCAAAATAAATAATTCTGGTTTTATTGGTGCAAGTTGTTCAAGGGGGTATTTAAAACAAGGACGCATAAAATGGCTACACCAATTTATGTGGGAAAACTTTTTATTTGACAATAAAGAATGCAAAAACGTGTTTTTTGGGATTCAGTCGAAAGTGTTGACAGGAACGAAAAAACTTTTCATATAGGATTTTCACGTATTTATGAGACCTACAAAATGAGACCAAACGTAAAAAGATCCGTCTAATAGTAAACATGTTATGGCCCAAAAACGAAGCAAAATGTAGGTTTTGGCACTTGGTAATGCGACGATAATTTCACGCAACTACTTGAAATTCTTCAAATCCGTAGGATTCATACGTCCAAATAACCACAACATAATTGGATGATATTGATCAAGTAGTTTTTTGAGAATTTCGAATTACCTATCCCAAAACACCTGTTTTCCGGCCATCACTACTAGTTTACCGAGCAGTATACAGGGTTTGTTCAAAGAGCATTTAATAGCAAAATACACGTGTTCACCTTGCCGATAAGAATCACAAGCCATTCCCAAAGATAAATGTTATTTTTATGCGAAAAACAAAGGTTACGTTTTTTTCTTTTCAACAAATTCAAACATTTCGTATTTGTGAGTAATTGAACAAATGCGCTACGATATTAGAAAAACGTTTCTATACACATTTTAAGACAATGCGAATTACTCACCAATACGAAATGTTTGAATTTGTTTAGAAGAAAAAACATAACCCATCCAATTTTGCATAAAAATAACATTTATCTTCCGGAATGGTTTACGATTCATATCGGCAAGGTAAACTAGTGTATTTTGCTATGACATACCCTTTGAACTAACCCTGTATATTGTTCAATAAACTGGTAGTGATGGCCGGAAAGCAGGTGTTTTGGGATACACAATTAGAGATTTTCAAAAACCACTTGACTAATCCACTCCAATAGTCCATAGTCGCATTGCCAAGTGCAGTTTGCCTCGGTTTCCGGCCATAACTTTTTTGCTATTAGTCGGATCTTTTCACGTGTGGTCTCATTTTGTAGGTCTCATAAATACCTAAAAATATTGTAGAGTTTAGGAATAAACTCGTATTTATGTATGTATGTTTATTTTTGTACGGGAAATATGTATTTTTGCAGTAAGGGTGAAGGTGTAGAGTTTAGGAATAAACTCGTATTTATGTTTGTATGTTTTTAGTCAACTAGTGGGTCGACCCCGACTAGACTAGAAATAAACCAGTGAAGTAAATGGTGTTTGGTTCGCACCCCCCAGTTATCACAAATATTATATTTAGAGTTTTTTAGTTCCTGCCAACACTTTCGATTGAATCCCAAAAACACGTTTTCTCATTCTTTGACGACGAAATAAAAGTTTCTCCACAAAAGTTGCTGTACCCCCTTTTTTGCATAAAAATAACATTTACATTCCGGAATGGTTTGCGATTTATATCAGCAAGGAAAACTAGTATATTTTGCTATGAAATACCGTTTAAACCAACCCTGTATATTGCTCAATAAACTAGTAGTTATGGCCGGCAAACAGGTGCTTTGGGATAAACAATTAGAAATTTGCCTCGGTTTTCGGCAATAACTTTTTTGATATTAGTTGGATCTTCTTACATGTGGTCTCATTTTGTGGATCTCATAAATACCTAAAAATCCTATATGAATAGTTTTTTCGTTCCTGAATCCCAAAAAACGAGTGTTCTCAATCTTTTTTTTTTTTTTTTTATTTATTTAACCGCATCGACCTACTGGCCATTAGCGGCGATGGTTATAGTGTCACAGTTTGTACAATAAGTTATTTTGTTTCAAGAAGCGAAGTAAGTTGTATACGTTACAATTTGGTCCTAAGATGTTTTCTAGAGTTAAGGATAAAATGTTACAGTCAACTCTATAAAAGTCTAGTAAAGGGCACTGCACCAGTATATGTTTAACACTCAGTGTCACTTCACATATTTCACACATAGGTTCTGCTCCTTGGGTGATGAGGTATTCATGTGTAGCTCTGGTATGTCCTAGACGGAGTCGGGTGATCAGGGTTTGATGTCTTCTGTTTGTTGTCACTGTAGTCCATGGTCCTAATTTAGGTTTCAGTTCGAGTAGCTTCGATGGATGGTTTTGCCAGTTGATATTCCAGTTTTCAATGAATTTATTTCTCAGAAAGACCTTGATGTCTGAAGCTGGAATGGTTACGTGTGATGGATCATTAAGGTTTCCTGCAATTTTTGCGTATTTGTCGGCTTTTTCGTTGCCTTTGATTCCTACGTGGGAAGGCGCCCATATGAAGACTATATTGCTATTCTCCAACTGCAATG